CTCTCTCTGACACTCTCTAACACTCTTTCTAACTCACTTATTTTTAAAATAATTTTACTTAGTATTTGAAGTCCAGTAGATCTCTGACAGATGTCAGATATCGCCTCCTTCTGGATCTCCAGCCTCCTGTCTTCTGCAAAATCGTTTCTGCCTTCAGCAGCCTATCAGCCAGAGCCAATGCTGTGTGTGCAGGAGATCCTTATCTCACACACTTTGGGCTGCGACCACAGACAGCCTCAGGGTTTACTGTAGGACAATGCAGGCACGTTCGCAGTGCCTACAGTGTCCTAATACTACGTTTGAATTCCTCAGCTAAACGTGAAGACATCAAACGTGAGTAGTGCACATCTGGCAGGACTGATCCAGGAAGTCCCTCCAGTGGCCATCTGAGAGACTGCCACTGGAGGTGTTCCTAGGCTGCATTGTAAACACTGTCTTTTCTCTGAAACTACCGTGTTTACATTAAAAAGCCTGCAGGGATCTACTAGACTCACAAGAACAGCCTCGTTAATCTGAAGTTGTTCAGGTGACTATGGTGTCCCTTTAAGTATGTACTTTGATGCTAATTGTTTTTATTTCTTTTTGTCTCCTTAGACTTGCCTGCTTATAGCCCAAAACTGGAAAAGTTAAGTGAAGAGATCAGAACGTATGTTGTTGCAGATGTTCCACAATTACATTCTAGCAAACTTTGACCTTGTTGTAAAGAAGATATTGGTGTTTGCACTCTAAACATCTAATTATAGTTAACTGAAAAACAAATTGAAAAATTCATACAAAAGCAGCCAAACTGTTAATATAGCTGTGACGTGAGAATTTTTCCAAATCTGCACTCTGACCCTATAGTGTTAAAACCACCATCTAGTTCCCTCTGGCCCCTGTGTATAGTAAATAGTATAGTAAAATGTTACTTGCATTCAAGTCTGCAGCTGCTGGCTCTGCCCCTGTCTGCATCAGACCTGCCCCTCTCTGCTGACATCATCACATCAGAAGTGGTGGTCTGAACCAATCACAATGCTTCCCCATAGGACTGGCTGAGACTGTCAAGCAGGCAGACCAGAGGCAGAACCAGCACAAGTCAAGCACAGCCCTGGCCAATTAGCATCTCTTGATTGAAATAAATCAATGCATCTCTATGAGGAAAGTTTAGTGTTTGCATGCAGAGGGAGGAAACACTTAATGGCAGTGCTGCTTACTCTGCAGCACTGCCCAAGGAAGCACCTCTACAGGGGCGGACTGACTGGTCAGGCACTTCGGACATGGTCTGAGGGCCCGGCCGGGAGGGGGGCCTGCCGCCATCGGGTGCCCGGCGGCAGGGCCGGAGTGGCCCACCGGGAAATTTCTACTGCATCTGGGGGCTGCGCAAGTAGGTGAGACCAGGTGGCCGGTCCGGTGGCACACTCAGAGGGGGCCGGGTGGTCACGTTCCACTGGGGTGGCAGTCTCGCCGGTCCGGCAGCTCTCCTGTCTCTAATGCTGAAGACTGAAGGAGGGAGGAGCATGTCTCTCTACCATGCTCCCTCGCGGTTCCCACAATTCCCAGCTCAGCGTACTGTGCATACTGTGCTGGGAATTGTGGCAATGGGGCAATCGCCCCACACACATATACAGTGTCCCCCCCATACACACACACAGTGCCCCCATACACACACTGCCCCACACACATATACAGTGCCCCCATACACACACTGCCCCAAACACACATACAGTGCCCCCCCATACACACACACTGCCCCCACATGCACACCATACACATTTACACACTGCCCCCACACACCATACACATTGCCTCACACACACATACACTACACCCCCCCACACACACACTACATCCCCCCACACACACTGCACCCCTCACACATTGCACCACTGCTCCTATACCCTACTACAGCCCCATATCCCAGCAGAACCCAGGTAAGTTGTCAAACTGTTCTCAAACGGTTTGACTACTTACTCTGGGAGGGGGTCCTGGCCCTCCTGGCACCATAACCACTACACAGAGCAGTAGTGGTTATTGTGCATGGATTATTTCTTTAAATAATCTACAAGTGCCCCAGTAGCCAGCCAGCCCACAGGCCAGCAAGCCAGCCAGCCATCCCACAGGCCAGCAAGCCAGCCAGCCAGCCCACAGGCCAGCCAGCCAGCCCACAGGCCGGCCAGCCTGCCCATAGGCCGGCCAGCCAGTCCACAGGCCGGTCAGGTCCCACAGGCCACCAGCCAGCTCACAGGCCACCAGTAATACAGCCCACAGGCCAGCAGCCAGCCACAGGCTAGTAGCCAGCCCACAGGCTTACAGCCAGCAAGCCCACAGCCTGCCAGTTGTAGCCAGCAAGCCACAGCTTGCCAGCCGCAGCCAGCAAGCCCACAGCCTGCCGGCAGTAGCCAGCAAGCCTACAGCCTGCCAGCAAGCCAGAGCCTGCCAGCCACAGCCAGCAAGCCCACAACATTCCAGCAAGCCCACAGACTGCCAGCCAGCAACAGTAATTAAGGTAAGAGGAGCCAACTTGGCCTAGGTATAAGCGAGCTATGTTGTGTTGCTATATTGTGAATAGGAACCAGAGTGTTGGAGAGACAGGCCCCATTAGACGCCATTGTAGTCTCTAATGGGGCCTGGAGGGGATTCTTTCTAACACACTCTCTAAAGGACACTGAGATAGCCTCTGCTAGAAAGACCCCCCTCCGTGGCCCATTAGCCCTTAATTGTAGTCTCTACTGGGGCCTCGAGGGGATTATTGCATTTTTGTTCCTTGTGTCTAAAGATTGTGTAGGGTGTGGCTGGAGGCGGGGCATGGAGGCAGGACCAGGGTGGGGCTTGCTGCAGAGCATGGGTGGGGCCTCTAAGGGGGCCCTTGATTTATTTTGCCCGGGGGCCCTGAAGGTTCTCACTCCGCCCCTGCACCTCTAGCAGCCATTTAAGGAGTGGCCAGTGGAGTTATCACTAGGTTGTAATGTAAACACTGCATTTTCTCTGAAAAGACAGTGTTTACAGCAAAGAGCATGAAGGGAGTGATTCTACTCATCAGAACAAATGCAATAAGCCCTAGTTGGTCTGGTGACTATAGTGTCCCTTTAAATGAAAATATTGCAGTTGAGAAAAATGCTCATTAAGTGAATAGTGTCCCTCAGTTTGCATCACAGATGAAGTCATTCAGAATGAGAATTCAATGTGAATTTCAAATTTAAGGTCAAAATAGCCAGTGACACATTCACAAAACTAGCTTGGAAAAGGTATGTTTCTTTGCAAGCAAGTTTTGTGAATAGGGAGTCAGTGATTGGTTGAGAGCATAAGCCGACTGCTCTCATCCAATCAGCGGTGCCCGTGCCTGGCGGCACGCCACACTTCATAAAACTGAAATTTCAGAGCTGAAATTGGCTCATGAGGCAACTTTGTTTGAGAGTGGTTTAGTCGCTGAAGGTCAGACTACTGTGCTCTAGCACCTCTCGGCACCATAACAACCTTATTTAGAAATTCACTTTAAATTCTCACTTTAATAATCCTGATAGTAACAGTTACATGATCTGCAAAGGAAATCCTGCCTGTAATATGTAGATGCCAAATGCAGACCATCATCAAGTGCGCATGAGTTCTTTATAAACGGATTCGATGAAACAAGGCATTGAAGTAGCAGTTACAGAAAGAAACTTTCAAGAAATCTTTTTTTTTCTCACAATATAAAACCTGGTTAAAGGGCAACCATTTCTACTTTGGGAACAAAATATTAAAAATCACGTGTGTTAAACTTTTTTTTTTTATGCGATGACCTGTTTTCATTTAAATGTTTATTAAAGATTTAGCAAGTGACATCACAATCCAGTTGTGCACAGCCAGGGTGCACAATGCTGCTCAGAAAAAGAAGAGTAACAATATTTTTGTTTCTCCTTAATCACTATGAATGCCAACATTTCCTATAAGCTAAATAATTGAATAAATTTTAACTTTTGCTTTAGTACAGGGGTTCTCAAATTACCCCCATATATGTATATATATATTTATTGTGGCAGTGTGAGGGAACACTGCTATATTAGCCCCAGAATGGCACTTTCAGTGTTCCCTGACTAGAAGGGGTTAAAAATCAGGTTGCTCTAGTACATCAGTTAGAGAGCTACATAAACCCGATGCAGAAGGAAATCAGTGTCTCCTGTGAAATCAGTGTCTTCCCCGAGTCTGAACTCCTCTTATTCCTCCTCCCGAGCTAGAGGAGGTGCAGCTGGTGTTTCCACCCCCCCTGCTCCATTGTCCCCGCCTACCCACTCACCTAGCTCAGATGCCAGCTCACTTGCCTTAAGCCCTCCTATTTCTGTACCAACCCCCACTTGTTCTTTGTATCCCGAATTGGCGCCCTTTTATTTACTGGCCAAGCTCCTCCCAGTCCTGCCCGAAATATTTTATTAACGCAGTTACCGACTAGTATAATTTATTCACCCTCTCCTGTCCTCCTTACAATTCCCCACACTATAAATGTTCGGAGTCCCATTCTAACACGACAAATGACTGGTACCCTCCAATATTGGCATTTACAGATGCCTTTCCGGCTTACACCTGCCCCACCACATATTGACGGTAATGGTCAGTTGCAATTGGCAGACCCTGTATTTGTGTATGTCCCCTTTACCACAACCGATCTATTTAATTGGAAGACCCATAATCGCTCTTACACGGACAAACCTCAAGCTATGACTGATTTGGTCACCTCGATTATTCAAACCCACAATCCTACTTGGGCTGATTGTCAGCAGTTATTGTTAACCCCATTTAGTTCTGAGGAAAGGATCCGTATTAATCAAGCAGCCATTAAAGCGCTTGAGGAAATGGCCCGTACCCAAAATCAAGCTAATTCAGCTGCTTGGGTCGTTGCCCATTTTCCCAATACGGATCCCAACTGTAATGTAAATGGCGCTGCTAT